GTCGAGTAATAAATAATGCAATACCTTTTTGTGAGCGGTTTGGACCACTCAAATATGCACCAGAAGATTTTATTTAAATTTTGTACATCTGCAATAGAAAGAATTTGAATTTAATATATATATTTGTGCAAATAAAACAATTTTTAATTACAGTTTCATTCAAAATAATGTTACTAAATTATTGATTATTGTATAACAAATTATATACCCAGTAAACAAAATTACATCTAAACAATTTGGATACAACATCGCGCCCGCGATGTGAGATATCGCCACGCCGCAGTCGTTTTTGTCGCATAGAACGTTAAACGAGCGCCAAGTGATGTTACATTTGCGATTTTTGTCGCGACTTTTTTAACACGTTTAATCGCATGTTGAACAGATGTTGACAAAACATGAAAACAACGTAATTGTGTACATTAATTCAATATTCTTTTCTGTACACACACATGCATGAATTTTTATTTTTAATTTATTAATAATAGACTATTTATTCAAGAATCATTTATTTATTCATAGATAATCACATGTAAAAAAATGTTACAAATTAGCATCAATATTTGCAATTAAAGTTAAACTTATAAATGTTATAAATAGAAATTTATTACACAAATCCAAGACTCTACAATTTAATATATATATATATATGTGTGTGTGTGTGTGTGTGTATTTTAATCAATCCTAATGTAAAGGCAACACATTTATTTAAGAAATTATTTATACATGAAAAATATTTAGTTTTTCGACTTTACATTAAAATTGATTAATTTCTTCGTAGCATTTGGTTAAATATAGTGAATGTCATGTCTCAACCATCATTTCCTCGTGTCTTCATTATACACAAAACACTTGCAAACATTGAGGGTATTATCGTCTTTATTCTGAAGAGTTTCTAAAACAGTTTATATATAGAAGTCAAGTCATAATCCTTTGTCATTTTTCCACTGACTGTAATTCATCGATCGATTTGAAAGATTGTCAAGTACATTATTTTTAATCCTAGCTAACCGATCTGAAACATCATCCTGCATCTGATCTTCTGAAATTCACTCGATTTCTGCTTTCAGCATAATATTCGGTTGACAATACAGCGGCAATGTTTTTTTTAACCTCTTCATTGAGAATTCCATTCATGTCATTCATAATGCTACAGAAATATAAAATCCAGTAAACATTAATAATAATTAAATATTATTATAAATAACTATATGATGTACTTACGAGTTCATTTTTTTTAACTGTTAAGGGTTTCAAACTACAAACTTATTAAACAACTTTATAAAACACGCTTTGATGTTTCTTTAATGTCAGCATGAGGCACCATCTTGAATTTTATTGTTAGAGAGTCCTACCTATAGATGTCCTTGTCATCCTATTAGTGTTGACACTCACTAGGCAGCAAAATTCATTAACTCACAGCATTTACATGAATCACAATGTTATTATTTTCATATTTGTTTCAACAATTTAAATTAAAGTTATATATTTTGTTCACTATTAAATTAAAATTATGATTAATATACATTTGTAGAAAAAAAAAACTTTGGTTAATTTCAATTTAAACATCCCGCCATCATGTCTTCAAAATCAAACTTCATAAACACACTTCTGGCAATACGAAACAAAAGTTTAAATATAAAAGTTTTGTACATAATTGAATTTATTAATTAACTTTTTTCATTCACTTTTATCTGCAAACTTTTATTTCCTAGTATTTTGCACGCATTTTAATATAATACAAATTTTTAATATAATTTTTAAATATACATAAAAATTATATTGAAAATTTATAAAAATTATATATAATTTCCATACCAAAAACTAAAAATTTAAAGATTCTACAGCTCCATTGTTTACTTCAGCATTTATCTATATTAACTATATAGTTAGGTGTTGAACTTAATTGTTGTTTTATAAAACAATGTGTAATGTGCATCCACTGAGATTTAGATAAAATGTTAAAACAATATTTGTTTTGTGCTCACAAATGTGATGTGCATTGAGATTTAGATAAAATGTTAAAACAATATTTGTTTTGTGCTCACAAATGCGATGTGCATTGAGATTTAGATAAAACATCTAAACAACATGATATTTTGTCACATCGCGGACATCGCGACGGGATTTTTTTCAAATGTTGTCAGCAACATCGCGTGTTTACTGGGTAGTTCATAAAACAGAATGTAAAGAAAAGAATTATATAATAATAAATTGAATTTCAATCCATAAAACAAAACAAAGAAATTATTAAATATTCATATTGCTTATAAAACAATATATAATTCGTATCAAAAAAATTATATAATTTATAAAAGAAGAAAACAATTATATAATAACACAGATTCTGTAAAACAAAAATATGTTTAAATCATAAAACAAATTTTAAATAACAAAAAATTAATTTGTAAAATAAACTATAATCCATAAAACAGATTTTAATTAATTAATATTAAAATTCTTAATTATCTTTTACTGTTTCCATAACTTTTGGCACTCCAATAGGACATAAAACATCATTATGAAGTTTCCTAGCAGGAAATTATTATACCCAAAGATAAACTAATGTTGGCACTGTCGAGTTAATGGATAACAGGCAGCGTGGCAATTGGGATAAATATAAAAAAAAATATGGTTAATTACCTTTTTGCAAGCCCTAGAGAATTCTCAATACAATCCTTTGTATTCCTCTTGCTCATACAATGTTTGATCTGTAATTTAAAATAATTATAATTAGTTATGAACAAATATTGTAAATTAAACTGGGTTTGTTATCAAGTTCAGTTAAACCGTATAATCAAAGCTGTCATACTGGGGCGGTAATGGTATCATCATTGTAAAGGACGTAAATATAAATAGTATGACAAAACAAATTCATAAAATACTTTATTGAAACAGAAAAGAGAAAATAAATTAGTTAAATAGAAGTGCTCTTCTACACTATCATTAGTATTTTAATTCAAATCCAGGATATTTTTGAACCTCATGTTACAAGATGTAAAATGAACAAATGTATAAAAATAAAATTGTAAATAATTACCTTTATTAGTTTTTGATAGGCTGGACAGACCTCACGAGCTCAATTCCAGAAATCCACTTGCAATTCAGGTACAACGCTGCAATCAAATATATTGATTAGTTTAGAAATAATAAAATTGAGTATAATTTAGTATAATTAATATAATTGAGTATAATTTAATTGTTAAAAAGTATTGATTCAGGTAACCGTATAATCAAGGACCTCATACTGGGGCGGTTAAAAGCTCATCATGGTATTAAAGTTTAGTTGTTTGAAATATTTTTAGTATTATTACAAAACTAGGTATGCAATAAAAATGTTTCATTAAACGAAGAAAACAAAACTAAGGATTTAAAATAATTACCTTGGTAGAGTAGAAGCAACTGTAAGTCCATTTCCAGGAAACTGATGGAAAAGAAATTTAAGTATTTAGATTGTTTGCAATTATTCAAAATAAGCAACAAAATTGCATTTAAGATAAATGTATTTGAAATTCAGTGATGAAGATTAATAAAAGTGTTTTCAAAACTTGAACCTGTATATTGCAGTTTTTATTAAGTGTTGTATTTAAAATTTCAATAATAATTTTTGTTACTTGTTTTTCTTTAGTTCGTAACTTAGACATGTAGATGTAGTAATTTATAATAATAGTAATTGATAACAATAGTAATGTATTGCCAAATAATGAAACTAAAAGATATGTATCAAATTCAATTAATTAATATTAAATTTTATTTGTTAAATATTAGGTATTTAATATTTTATATTCAATAAATTTTTTGTAAGTATACCACTATATATAATTGCAAATGTTCAATTTGGCTAAGATATTTTTTACACATTAATGCGTGTAATAATAACCAATATTTTTGTACAATTGATCTTAGAAGTATCAGCAAATGTTATGCTAAAAACAAAAATTGTGATTTAATTCTTTAAATGCTTATAAGCACATTTTAGTAAATAAAAATATAGAAGTGATAAATTTTTTTTTTAGTAAATTAAAATGCAAATAAAATAGTGAATATTTAATTTTTTATCCATAAAGTAATAAAGATTCTAAGTTCTTATAAAGATTTAAAAAAAAAAAACAGTAAATGAAAATGTAAAAAACGGTGATAAATAAATAAGTAAATTAAAATGCAAAAAATATTAAAATTTTAATTTTGTATCCAGAACTTTCGGCACTACAAAATGAATACAAAATCATTTAGAAGTTTCCTAGCAGGACTACTTTTTATATACCCGCTTTAAATAGAAATGGCACCCTACAAAACATGTGAATTTTGTGAGCGTGGCAAACGGGATAAAAAATATAGAATGAGTATCAAAACATTGTGAATTAATTGTAAAATTACCTGCAAAATATATAGCATTCACTATCACGGCACCGAACAATCCACGAAATCCTTTTTTCAAATTCTGAAAGTAAAAAAAAAACATTTTACTTCCATAATGTAAATATATATTGTTGAGAATTGTGTTCTTTATAATTATAAATATAGTCATAAGTAAATTCATTTGAACGATGTATAATCCCGAGTAACGGTAAATGTTGCGAATATCTTGTACATCTGCAAGACAACCGTTAATAAAAGTTTACATGATAGCTCATGTACCCTCGGCGAGCTATCATAAAACTAGAAATATTGGAAATATTTTAAAAATGTAAAAATATAGGTTAGTTAGTCCTGAACTCTTGAACAAGTAACAACTAAAATATTATAATAAAGCGCTAAATAAATTTTTGTATCTAAATAAATTCTTTGATTTCACACACTTCCAGAAGAGCTACAAATGTTCCAATTCTCGTCGTTAAGTATTCCAAATAAACTATAATCTACTCAAGAAGTTATTAAAAATTGGTTACATTTATTCATTAATTAGTAAATTCATTACTAACGTCTCTTCAATATATATATATATATATATATATATATATATATATATATATAAAATTAATAATACACATCTCACAAACATACCTTGTATACCATTCACTGGCATGCCTCAGCCAGCTTTTTGTAGCCTCTGAGATGGCAAACTTGGTTTCATTAGGTAAGTTCTTTAGAACAGTTTCTGAAATTATTCATATGTAAGTTTTATACATAATTTACAACATATCATAAACATAGGAACTATAAATTACCATTGATGATATCGCACAGCACAAGCTCGCAATACTTGTGCTTTCCTTTACCCCCTGCCCAGCTGAACTCTCCTAGCCAGGCCATCATCAAATATCAATTTAATCAATTGTACTGTGACAGATTTAGCACATTTTCCACCTGTCCTAGCCAAATACAAAATCTAAAAATAAAGACTAGTTTATAATAAAGCTAACTAATAAACATAAATTTGGGTGAACTTGTGATTACCAGTTGTGTTTTCACATCCTTGTTGTTTCTTAGACTATCCTCCACTTCTCGAAGTTCGTCCATTGAGCACAGAGGAAACTTGTTTAAAATTTCCTTGATTTGGCCCATGTCACTACTCATGACAGCCTTAGGAGACTGGAAGGAATCCATTCTCAACATCATTTCCTTCACTTGCTCCTCAAGGCCCTCCATGGTTAATCGAACTTTAGTCATCTCCCTGATGAAAATTTCCTCGCCAATTGAATCTAGCAGGGTAGAAATGCCAGCATTATAAAATATATATTTGTACTAGTAACATAATATTTCAAATACCATGCAGTATACAAAAAGCTTTACGTACAATTATTATCTCTGTTCCGTCCAATTTGTCTGCAGCTTTTTTTCTGGAGAAGTAATCAATGTCTCCAAATCATTATTCATGTTTTCAATTGGCTGTTCTGCACATATATTTATTCTTGTGCAACTTTCCTGTAGATTTGCAGAATCAGTAATAGCTGTTGCCTGGATATTAGCCTTTACATAGTAATTCACACGCCTTTGAAACTGCCTCTTTGAAATAAATTTAACACTTTTGAATACTTTGTTTTTGGCGCCATATTATATTAGAAGTTTTAAAATACTATATATTTTAGTGTGAACTCAAATTATAACTCTTAGATAGAGAACTAAACTGATAAAAATGTAAATTTATTTTTTTCAAGTATGATATAAATTATTTATTACACACTCAAATATACATTAATTATATAAAACAGATGCAATTTCCACTATTATTAATCAAGTTTAGAGCATTTGGATTTTCAATATTATTTATTAATAACACCACATATATATTTAAACAGAACAAATGAAATTTTCACTAATAATACTCAATTACGCAACAACTATAAAAGAATTCGACATATAGCGTCAGTAGCTTAATTGATGACGCCAAGCGACGCGACGGCGAAGAGAAAGGGACAAACATATACGTTTAGAGGTCTCAAGCCGTGCGCGTATGAGATCGACATGTCGTGAACCGTTCGTTATACCTGCTCGAGTCCTTTGGTTTTGAGACGTCCCGTTGCATATTCATAGGATATTCATAGGATATCGCGATATTGGGAGATTGTGAGGACAAGTGGGACATTCCCTGGCATGTCTTGTGCTGTCTGGGAAGGAGCTGAAAATTTAAAAGATCGAAGACTCGAAGAGCGTTGTTGAGTTATGCGCTTACCAACACATTTTGCGATCCATTTTTATATATAATATTTTATAAAACCTAATTTCTAACCCTACTCATAATCCTAATAAAAACATAATTATAACTATAATATTTATTATAAATCTAATAAAAAATATATGTATTAGGAATATAAAAAATCAAATTAATTATAATCTTATCAAAGCATAAAGAAAAAATTATTAAAATAAATCTTATTCTAATTATTTAAACTAAAATAATCAAAAGAATTAAAAAATAACATTCTTCTTAATCGAAAAGAATAGTATACAGTTAACCCAATTCTAAAATAAAATAAAAAAAAAATTAATAAATTAAAATTAATTGTATCAAATGAATAATCATTCCTGAACATATAAATAATAAAGCCTTAAATAAAGTATGTATTAAAAGATGAAATAAAGCGAATTTACGTATATTAAAAGATAATCTTCTTATTATTGCTCGTTGCCTTGGCCGATGAGGCTTTCGTCGACTTACCCTAAATGGTCTTGTTCATAGATAAACACGTATATGGTCTTGTTCTTACCGACTGTCGTCTTAGGTTTCGCCGACGACTTTTTTAATGTGCCCGCTGCGGATGCAGACTTCTTTTTAAGGGACGAAGCAGGTTTGGCGGCGCCCTTCGACTTTGCTGTCTTCGATTTTATTTTTATCGCTGGCTTCTTAGCGGTCCTAGCTTTTCCAGCCGAAACACCGCTTTCGCCGCCCCTCTGTCTAGCGGCAAGTTTATACGAACCCGAAGCACCGTTGCCTCTCGTATGAATGAGTGTTCCCATTTCAACTGCCGACATTAAATACTTTCTGATGTATGTTGATTTTTTCTCGGCGTCGATTTTATAATTGGCCGACATATATTTCTTGATCGCCTGCAGCGACGATCCTCCGCGTTTTTTCAGGCTTGCTATGGCGTCGTTGACCATTACGTATATGGGAGGATAGGGCGCCCTCACTCGCTTTTTCTTCGATGGGACGGCTTCACTCGACGATGCTGTAGCTGGCGCAGCGGTTCCCACCGGCGACGCGGATAAAGCGTTATCTGACATTATAGTAAAACTAGCTGTAAGTGGAATTCTGTCTTAAGGCAATTAGGGCATCGTGCCTTAAGGCAAATTGCTGGAACTTCCCGTACCAAAAATTATTATTTTTTTAAAAACGATTGACATTTTTTTTTGAGAAACTGTAAATTTGATAAAAAATTACTTTCTTTTGAAAAAAAAAAATTTTTTTTTTGAGAAAAAAATTTTTTTTTTGGAAACAAAAAAATTCTTTGAAAAAGTTTTCTTCATTTTGACATATTTTGGAAATTCTGAACTTTTATTCAAAGCAATCGCACTGCTTGAACTGCATAGAGACAAAATGTCAAAGCTCGCAAGTGCCGCGCCGCCGTCTAACGCATAAGCATTGGTACGGAACCCATAGAAATGTAAAAAAAATATACTTATTGTTGAAATCTCTATAAAAAATATCTGATAATTTGAGGTGCATATGTCAAATGATCATTTTTAACCGCCGAATGGCATTTTTTTTTTTTTGCTTTTTTCATTAGATCTCCGAAACCGCTAGACCTGCCTTCATGAAAATTTGATCAATTCTACATCTTGTCAATACAAGTCAAATGTTTTTTGAATTATTAAATTCGGACGCTCCGTTCTCTTAAAAACTGAATTACCGTTTTCGGCACTTTTTGCCTTGTATCTTTGGAACGGCTGGAGCTGCCTTTGCCAAAACTAATCAGCACGTCTTCTTATCAATACGAATCGAATGCTTTTTGAATTATTCAAATCGGTTGATCCGTGTTCCCGAAATCGTCGACGAAAATTTGTATCCGCACATACATACATCCATTTTTTCTAAGGTATGCCAAAATGTTCAGAAACCTCTGAAACGTAAAGATATATAAAAAATTTCATTTTCGATTTTTTTGCGATTACTATAACTTGCCCTACGGGAAGTTAAAAATGGTTACGTTTGGCTACTTTTGATGTATTAAAACTATATTTGAAAAGTGTAGGACCGAGGAGAAAACAATAATATTTGAAAATTTTACAAAAATGAAAATTATTTGTAAAAAATTAAATCCAGCGCTTTTGTTTTAAATAATTCGCTGGATTCGCTTACAATGGATTCACATGATAGCTAAATTCATCCCCAACATATCATCAAAAGCATGATTTATTTCAATCGTTAGTTTTTCTAAAATATCGCTCATTATATTCAAGTAACATATCAACTCTCATACATACAAATCCAAAATCCAAATATGAAATTTCTTATTGACTCAGGCTCCACAAAATCTTTCATTTGTCCAGAAATCGCTAACAAATATTTCAAAAATTTTATTTACTCTGACCCTTGTACAATAAAAACTGCTTCAGCAACACACAAAGGAAATTTTGCATGTAATATTCCGAGTTTTAAAGAGTTCAAAGGTAATGAAAACCTGCCATTCCATCTTTTTAAATTTCATGAAACCTTCAATGGGTTATTAGGTATTGATAATCTTAAAAAATTGAAGGCAATAATAGATTTAAATAATGGGTTGATAGTGTTACCCAATACTAATTTAAACTTACATTATTTAAAAAGTCCGGCAAAAATACTTTTTAGTCAACAGATACCAGAAAGATGCATTCAAAAATGTAAAGTCCCAGTTAACATTAAAGAAGGTGAAATTCTAATTACAAGGCAAAATTTTCCAAATTGTTTCATTCCAGATACCGTAACATTAGCAAAAAACAATGAAGCCATAGTTGAAATTCCTAACCTAACAGAAAACGAAATTAACTTAACATTAACCAAACCTTTACAAGTAGAACTCACAAATGAAATAGAATTTTATAATTTTTGTATCTGACTCAAATATAGATTTTTCCGATATTGAAAACCTAATACGGACTGACCACATGAATCTCGAAGAGAAAAATGCTATTTTAAGAATTTGCAAAAAATATAAAGACACTTTTCATAAACCAGATAGTTTAGAAGAAATTATTTATAGTTTAGTTATATTGATGACAATTATTTTAAGTGACATAAAAATATAAATAGATTTAGCTAAAATGAATTTAATTCATAATTCAATAATAAAATTAGATAATCTGAATTTTATGATTAATACTATAAAGCATTTATACAGTACAGATTCACTACCATTTTCCATAGGCGATAGTAATCTTCACAAACATTACAATTTATTAAAAATTCAATATTATTATACGGATGATAATAATAATCTACTCCAAACTTATAAACATTATAAATTGTTTCCAATTCCAAATACCGAAAATAGAGTCATTATTCCACCTAAACCTTTCCTTAAAATTGGCAATAATAACTATCAATTTGATGATGCAGATTGCAGAGCAGTTTCAAAAATATATTTCTGCAATATTAAACATATCCTATCAAATAATGACGAATGCATAATAAAATTATTACAAGTAGACAACACTCACATCGAAACATGTAATGAGGTTCAGGTTAACATTTCACACAATATCATAGAGCAAAAATGATGCACACTATATTTTTAACTTCCCGAAGGAGAAGTTTATGTTTTCATCAAAAAATCCGATTCGCTAATTTTATGTTTTCTCGACGTTTCAAGCCATTCTGAATCGAATGAGACCAAATTTGGAAAAAGTATGTGTGTGTGTGTGTGTGTGTGTGTGTGTGTGTGTGCGTGTGTGTGTGCGTGTGCACCAACAGATTTTTTGCCGTAAATCGCCGTTTTCTCAAAAACGGCTGGACCGATTTCAAAAATTTAAAAGCCATTCGATGTATCTCGATGAGGACTATTGTTTGTCAGTTTTGTGCGACGATCGGCCAAACCGTTTCTTCGTAAATAGCAGAGAAGTGAAAACTCTTTCGTCCACGTTTTAGCCCGCAGTTATGAATCGATTTTGAAAATTCAAAAACCGTTCGAAAGATATTGGTTGGGAATCGTGCTGATTAGTTTTTGGTAGAGATTTGAAAAATCAAAAACTGTTCGAAAGATATCATTTGGGAATGATGCTGAAAGGCTGAAAATTTAAGCCTTTTTTCATGGAACTTTTTTTGGCGATATACATCATGGTCTTATAGAATTTACTGTAATATTACGGCCTTACAACAAGTAGTTTAATTTTAAAAATTCGTCAAACTTTGCTAAAATTATAATCGTTTTTTTAAAGTAGGATTGATGAAGTATATTATTTACACATTTTTTTTTTGATTAAGTCGATTATTTACACATATCGGGAAGTTCATGTATCAAGAATTGATATGTCTTGCAATCATCAAGAAGAAACAAAATTTATTAAAGGAA